CCACCCCCAACTTCCAGCCAAACCCAGCCAAGTTTGTGCTAAATCTCAACACTTTAGAAAGTTTACAACCCTTCGCTGCTTACAAAGTTCCTTTCTACCTAGATGGACAAACAAGTGCTTTGCAAGTACTCAGGAGCAAACCTAGTGCTTTAACTTGGAAAGAAAACGATTCCTCATGCGTTGAAACTTTAGCTATGAAGATTTATTTCAGGTCATTGGTGCTGCTTCTCTTTGTTGCCCAAACCAGCCACCGTCTTAATAAAGTTTTTCTCCATCTTAACCCCTGCATAGTGTGAGAAACTCTCTAATCTTGGCTCTGTGGATCAAAGATATTTGAGCTATTCCGTTACTATTCTTACGTCACCTCCGTATTTCTCTCTTCACCGGGGAACCCTGAAGCCAGAATGCCAAACAGCACAAGCCCAGTCCAGCTCACACTTTATAATGAACAAACGAGGGTGGGTAGACAGCCTAGTTCCTGAGTGACCAATTCAAATATTATAAGTCGCATGCAAAAGAATTCCAGAAATACTGAGCACCTCCAGTGTATGGTGCACAGTCTTCACCCTAAAAGCTGTTTACAGGGCAGGAGAGAAAACAAATATATAAATTAGGATGTCCAGGGCAGGTACACCAACCCCTACGGGCATAAGGAGGAAAGATTACACCCCCTAAAGGTGGAGTTCAGGGAGAAGAGACACTGGACATTGGCTTTGAAGGTTGAGTGAAGGATATATGGGGATAAGGAGGCCATCCCAGATGGACAGGGCAGCGTGAAAGGGAATAACGTGGGGAAGCTTGGAGGCTAGCAACAGGATAATTTGAGGGGAGCATCAAGTTAAGGTATGAGAATAGTAGGGGTCAGGGAAAGGATCGATTTTGAGATGGTTAAATATAAGTTACAAACTTGAGGCCTGCTTTGATGGACAAAGGAAAACTATTAATGTTTGCTGTATAATTTTGTTTGTTTTAAACAAGGACCTGTTCAGCCATATAAAGCACAATCAGTTGTACGGTAAATAGATGAACCTGGAAGGATGAATTGAAGTAAAGCAGTAGTTCTCAAGCCTGGGTGCACATTAGGATCTCCTGGAGGGCTGACGCCTGGGCCATATCCCCAGATGTTCTGATATTAGTTGGTCTGGGTGGGGCCCAGGCATGAGTATTTTTTATTTAAAAGAAAAATGTTCCTGATAATTCTAATATGCAGTTAGAGTTGAGAAGTTCTAGAATGCAGAGCAAGCAGACACGGGGAAACTAGTTAAGGGATTGCAGTAGTTTGGAAATAATAACGGGGCCCCAAACTCTGGAACTCCAATAGCTGTAACTCCATCTGCAGACATAGGGATACAAGGAGAAGGAACAGTGTGGGCTCGTGTTTTGGGAGCAGGGTGTGGTTAGAGTTGGAGAAGGCACGCTTACAGGTAGAAAATGGACATGTTGTCCTTAATTTTCATATAATGTAATGCCCATGCTGCTCTGCAGAATATTCTTGAGTTGGATGATTTTGTATGATTTGACCAGCTCTCAGTGTCAAAGGCAAGAGCTCTAAAATTCACAAATTTCATTCAGCTGTCCCTAAAGTTCAAACCTCCACTGTTTGCTACAAGTTGAAGTTTTCTCAATTAACAATTTTTTCTTATTAATCTTAAGGCTTTAAATTGAAGTCCCTTCAAATGATAAATGTTATTGTTGCAAACCTAAGAAAAAGTAAATGAAGCTTCTTTACAGAGAATGCACCTGATAGGTAATTTACAATTTAATGCATCTTTATAAAGACTTGACTGTCAGCAGTGACTTTATAGGATGGTCACTTCATTGCATGGTTGAAGCCCCAAAGCAGCTGATGGGAGAATGTCGGGATGAGAGATTTGTGGCTCGGTTTAGCAAATAAAAATGCAGGATGCCCAGTTAAATTTGAATTTCAGATAAACAATGAATCTTTTTTTAGTATAAGCATATCCCATGCAATACTAGGGACATAATTATACTGAAAGAT